ACACAGGATTCTGTGACCTTTATTTTATCAATGTGATAATTTTTTTCCCTCAAAAACCTGTTGTGTATGATGTGAGACCACAAAACACATGTAGACCGGTTGGGCGAACTCCCATGCACCCTCCAGGACCCTGCTGAGGGTGTAGAGCTGGTCCAGTGTTCCACGCCCAGGACGAAAACCACACTGCTCTTCCTGAATCCGAGGTTCGACTATCTGACAGACCCTCCTCTCCAGGAGGAGGGTCTCCACTCTCTCCTCCACTCTCCACTACATTTCAAAAGCAAATATTGTACTTTTTACTCCACTACATTTCAAAGAAGCTTTTAGTTACTTACATTTGGTTCAGCGTAGCTTTGTAATCAGCTGTTGTTGTTTTTCTTTCTTGAAATGCAATTGGCCACACACCATGTTCCTCACAAGGGGAACCAATCACAGTTGTAGCTCACACCTGGGATAGATTTGGAATTACATCATCTTTATTAACGGTCAGGAGCTGAACTCCCACTTACATTTCAAACAAATGGTAAATGGGCGGAAATTGTAGAGCGCTTTATCAAGTCCCTATGGACCCCAAATCGCTTTACACTTACAGACATTCACCCATTCACACACACATTCACACACTGATGATGGTAAGCTACAGTGTAGCCACAGCTGCCCTGGGGCACACTGACARMAGCGAGGCTGCCATGCACCGGTGCCACCGGACCCTCTGACCACCATCAGTGGGTAAGGCAGGTGAAGTGTCTTGCCCAAGGACACAACAACAGAACCCAGCAATGGAGACGACTGAAGAGAATAGAGGAACCAGCACACTCATGATYATATCTCAGCTTTATGTTTGAGATTTTAGGACTTAAAAATAGTTCTTATCAGTTTAAACGTCTTCTGGGTTCACTGCGGATAAACTGAAGTCTGTACAGGTGGTGTAGAATTTGTAGCAGAGTGGTTCTACAAGCCCTGGCAAAAATGATGGAATCACCGGCCTCGGAGGATGCTTATTCAGTTGTTTAATTTTGTGGAAAAAAAAGTAGATCACAGACATGACACAAAACTAAAGTTATTTCAAATGGCAACGTTTTGGCTTTACGAAACACTAAAAAAAWAAATAAAGAAAAAGTTGTGGCAGTCAGTAACAGTTACCTTTTTGGGCCAAGCAGAGGGGGGAAATTTTGAAATCACTCAATCCTGAGGGAAAAAATGATGGAATCATGAAAAACAAAGAAACAAAAGAACACATTGACTGTGTTTCAATTCGTGCAGTCGACGTGGGCCGTAGGCTGTTCGTGTCGGCTGCATAAAGGGCTGTGAATTGAGACGGTCGAGCCTACAGAAGATGTAAGTTTGCGTGGACACGCTGCGCGTCGTTACCATGGTGTTATGTCTCCAAATGAGCGGTGAAAATGGAGCCTGAAAAAGCGGTGGTCTTTTTTCTTTTCTCGAAGAGCTAACGGGTTTTTCTTTGATGTTGCGGGGCTTTCATGTGGCTGACAGCAGAATGCAACAAGGTAAGAAATGTTTAGGCTTTAATTTATTTCACTATACATTAAAACGGCTTACTTTCAACGTAATCTAGCTGCAAACATCATAGTTACTGATGTTTGGTGCATTTATTTGTCTAAAAATAAGCATTAAAATTAACTCAAATGTATGTAGCTTCACTTTATCAACTCGTTTCAGAATAGTAAGTGATAAATTACCATTTGAAAATGCATGTATATTTACTTTATCAACTAGTTTCAGAAAATTGATCTTAAATGTAAGTAATAGGTCCTAACTCATTTTAGTTACATAAATGTAACTACTTGTACTTGTCAAATTTAAATGTAACTACTTCTTGCAATGTACTTGTACTTGTTACATTTATATGTAACTACTTATAATGTACTTGTACTTGTTATAATTAAACGTCACTAAAATAATTAGTGACATTAAATTTAACACTGGTCCTAACCCTAATCCTGAGAAAATTAGGAAAAAATCAGCGTCGGAATTTCAACATTCTGAGAAAAAAAAGTCAGAAACTTGTGTAGTTACATTTAAAGAAATTTATGACACTCAAACAAATTATATATTAATTATAATTGTGAATGCTCTGATGTATTTTCTYCTTTACAGATCAGACCACAGTACTGCAGTTGATGAAAAGCGGGTTTGGAGTCATCTTCCTGCAAACGCTGGAGGTACCTGTGCCCCTCATGTAAGACCTTATAAWATATAGTAACAAAAACTGTTTTATCAGAGTTACGACAGTTGTTTACAGTGACAATTTGTACATTTCCAKGTCATAACAGCATGTGCCGTCCTCYGCAACATCTGCCTTGGGGCTGRTGACATCATGGCCCCGGAGGACGAGCCTGAGGATGAGGGTGAGGCTGTCCAGGAAGCTGCAGGTGGGGCTGTCTGGAGGAACCAGATAGCAGCAGATGTTTCTGCACCAGTGCATCATGACTATTGTTGAGGCAAGTTGTTCTCACCTGTTTTAGCCTCTCTGCACTGGCTCCCTGTGC